TTTCCTTTCTTGTTCCAGTTGCCACTGCTGTAGTCTCTCTTCTTGTTTCTTTTCTTTTTCCCCCAACAACTGCTGTAATTTCTCTTCTTGTTTATTTTCTTTCTCCTCCAACAACTGATGTAATTTCTCTTCTTGTTTCTTTTCTCGTTCTTCTTGTTTCTTTTCTTTTTCCTCTAACAACTGCTGTAATCTCTCTTCTTGTTTATTTTGTTGTTCGAGCTGCCACTGTTGCAGGTTTTCTTGCAACTGCTGTTGTCTCTCTTGTTGTCTCTTTTCTTGTTTATTTTCTCGTTCTTCTTGTTTCTTTTGCTGTTCTTGTATTGCTGCCATCAAATCTGCTTAACTGTAGTTTGATTTGCCGCCTCTCGTTTCCATTGTTTTTTTTTTGTATCCCACTTCTGACACTAATTTGTTACGTCTCCGTTTATTAGTTAATATTCCGTAAATTCGTTCCGACGAAACTTTAGCGACACAAGTCCTTTCTTAAATAATACTGGTTTATTCTTTCCGAATACAACTTTACGATACACTTAATTTCAACAGTCGCTCTAAAACAAATGCTATAATTCTCAACAAACGTCTCACGTGCTCGTGCGCAACTCAACAATACTCAGTTCAACTGCGCACACACAGTCCCATCACGTTGTGACCGTCTTATATATACAAGACTAACACATATCTAGTAAACACTAGAGCATTCATGAAGGAACAGGATATTTCTAGAGGGACGTGGCGTGATACTAGTCAAGTGACCTTGCTGACGCAACAATATATTATTGTTTAAACAATAATGATTAAGATAAAAAATTTCCACAGAAAAAACAACAACAAAGAAATATTGTTTGGAAAGTGTTAAGAAATTAATATTAAATAAATCAATTAAGTTTTAGTTATTATTTTAATAATAATATGACCTTAAGTCTTATTTTTATCTCTAGTTAAAACATTTTGATCAGAAATCGATAATCTAACAGGAAAGCTTCAACCCTGTAAGTTTCAAGCTACTATTTACCACATAAAAAATATATAGCTGATGACTTTTTATTGGTAATCCATCTTGATACAAATAATATTTTAAAGAGTTTTTCAATGATTTTAACACTTCTGGTCCTTATTCTTTTTTTTTTTTTTCATGAGAAGTCCAAAAAGCAAAATATGACTTAAATGCTTCTATCAAAACTGTTCTGATATTTCTTCTTCTTCTTTAGCTTTTTCAAGCAGAGAAATGATGGTGTCTTATGACCATCAATTACTTGAAGCTCATAATTATTCCTTTAAAACTTCAGTTACTTTTTACATAACAGTAACATACTTAGAAGCTTGAAATGTAAATATTCCATAACTGTAAACCTACAAATTCTTCTGTCTTTCCTTTTTAATGTTACAATGGATTTAACAATGAATGAGCTCTTATGCTTAATTCAATATATTCACAAAACTAACTTACATAAACAAGATAAATGTTTATTTTTAATCTTTTTTTTGCTTCTTCTTACACTATTTGTCACACAAACATAATTTATACAGTTCTGTTGATTATTCATATTTTTCAAAGAATTTATTATATGAATAACACTCATCAACTTAATAATAACATAATGTTTTATTCATTACAGTATCAAAAAAATGTTTTTTACTTAAATACACAGAGAGATAAATGAATTAGTTACCATTCATAAAAGAAACTTATAGAAAGTTAAGAGTAATATCATTTTTCATACATTTTAAGTACTGCCTGCAGCTTGGTGTGCCTCACTATGTGTAGGAGGGTGTTCCAACACAAAGTCTATTAGCCCAAACTCTTTTGCCTGCTCAGGACTCAAAAACCGATCTCGTTCAATATATGTTTCTGTTGAAAAAACAAAATACCATCAATTTTAACGAGTGTGTCAGAAAAAGACAAATAAGTAATTATGATCATGGGTACACTAAATGGTTTAAATGAAATTCTTATATCTTAAATAAAATTCACCAGCTAACAAAATAGAATGTAGTTTCCCAGCTAAATATAACTATCACTTTAACCTTTATCCTAAGGACACTAATTCTTTAACAAAGCTACTCATAAGCTATCTGTCCCTAATTTGAAACTGACAGACTATAAGAAAGACAGCTAGTCAACAGCACCTTCCACCAACTCTTATGCTACTCTTGTCTGACCAAAAAAGTTGGATTTAGCCATTACCTTTTTAAGCACCACAGCAACAAAGGGCAAAGCACTTATTTTTTTTCTTTTTAATAGGACACAAACAATTGAATCACAGATCCAGCCCAAGAGTAGTAGGTAGTAATCCACTTTATACAAATATATTTAATAGGACACAAACAATGGAACCACAGATCCAGCCCAAGAGTAGTAGGTAGTAATCCACTTTATACAAATATATTTAATAGGACACAAACAATTGAATCACAAATCCAGCCCAAGAGTAGTAGGTAGTAATCCACTTTATACAAATACATGGTGGTTTATTCCATTCAGATTAAAGTACATTTCTCATTAGTAACAACAATCAACCAAAAGAAATGTTAATGCTTTATTCAGACCATTTTACGGGCCCAAACTGGATGCCAATTTCAGTTAAAACTCATCCAAAAGATTTCCAAATTTTGGCATGCTTAAAAAAATTTCTGTATGTCCATATCTGATACTGTTCAAGAAAGCTGGGTAGGTATGTAGGCCGTTTTCATTTTTTTTACTTTAAGTACTCTCTACAGTTGTAGAATACATAACCAACAATATATTGCTTCAAAAAGGATAAGTGCCTACATGTTCAACCATTTATGCAGTCTACTGGTAGGTATAGATCATTTAATACAACAGATAGTACATGGCCATCAAAGACACAACAGAGATAATATTTTGAACATTTGTAATTTTTTTTGGGGGGGGGGACCTCTAATGCTGAGGACACTTATGAACAGAGTATAACATTAAAATACATTTTTTGTGCAATGTCTTCAACAGCTACATGTGTATATGCTAAAAGTAATATTATGAGACTTCTAAAATGCTGGAAATGATGCTTTACAGGATAGCACCTAGTACAAACCAATGCAAAACTTGTGTGTGATAACAATAAGCCATCAGCAAATATTATTAACTTGAGTAAGGAAGCACATTCAGGTAGAAGACAGACCATAGTTCTGTTGAAACATGTAGCATGTTTCACCATCATTACAATTCTTATTTATGCTTGTAAGTTGTTGTTTGCCTACCTATTATAATATTATTCACATAAAATTACATTTAGTCTCATACCTCAGGGTTAGGATATTATTTCACTGGGTGAACATGCAAAGTGAAAATGTAACTTGGATTTCACTAGCATTATTTCTAGTTTGAGCCTTTGGTTGCAATATAGAAGAAACCAGAGTTTGCTTTTTTTTATGACAGTATATATCACACACAAAATTTAATAAAACATAAGTTTAATAACTATTAAACAAACACGAAACTAGTATTAAAATTTTTACACTTTGTATTTCACTAGCAAAACTATTTATTTTGAAGGAATGTTACTTAATTTACTCAGAGACTACTGGCTTAATCTTAGGTCAACATAAATTTTGCCATAAAAAATAATTATATGATTATTACTCATATAGTAGTCACATTTAAAATAATAAAATTTTTGATGTACTCTAAATGAATAAAGAAAACTGGTTCCAATGAAAAACAATGGAAATAAATGAGAGATAAAAGTACAAGATTAGCTGATTTGGTTAGATGTTTGTCTTTTGCTTTGGGATAAGTATACACCTGGAAAAAAGTTAAGCACCCCCGTGTTTTTTTCAAGTGATTCAGATTCGACATTCTTGTGACTGATTATAAATTACCATTCAATCTAAACGTGTTTATCAAATGAAATTATGCATTATTGGGCACAAGAAAACAAGATTATCACCATAAAATAACAATTTTTAATTTACATATCATGACATCAAAATATGGACAGTTTTCACGCTTAAAATTATCTTTAATAAATATTGTCAGTGAAAGCTCAAAAACGTTATTGAATTGTC